TATTATTAGTTTTGGACTTTATTCTAAATTGACTTTATTTTGGCTTATTAAGTTGATTAATAGATAAATCTTATTGACTTGCAATTCAAAATAGATTCATTAGAGTTATTTGGAAGGGATTATATATTGCTTTTATGACTAAAAATTTCAACATATATAATGATTTAAATAACTATGATTTTATCTTTGTTTTGCATGTTGTAATAATCTTTCTTTTTAAAAACATATATCATATAATAACTTATTAAAAAATAACTTGTTTCATGACGTGATTTGTATATTTTAAGTTTTTCATTATATAATTATCTCTGTATTTAAGTTTTTTTTTTCAATAATTATTCAAAAACAACTTTTTTTTTCTTTCTTCTTTCTTTCTTTCTTTCTTTTGGCTAAATTGGAAGTTAGCATGGTGATTCCTGCGGGTACGAAGTTGATTTCTAAGGTAGGCTTCTTCTTTTTTTCTTCTATAACGAGACTTTTCTTAACAACGTTATAAAAAGCCTTTTATTTTTATTTGATAACGATGAATATTTTTAAAATTTATAAAGTTAAGAAAGAGAACAAACATCTTTAATTATTTTTTTTTTTATATTAGTGTCTTGTGAGCTCCCTTTCGCAAATCTAAATTAGAGAAATTATTAGATATATGTAGAGTTGTACTCTTCTTTCTCTTCCAAGCACCAGATTCACCACAAAAATTAGTAATTGATCTCACCATTACATGACAGATGAGAGTATAACTTTGACATTTTGTTTTGAGCTTTCCAAATTAATTTAAATTTAGACATCTTAATGAAATCTTATATTTTAAATGTTAATAATTGAATTTAAAATAAAATTCGGTATAAAAATAAATCAAAGGCCAACTCATATGATTTACTATACTAAAAATAAAAAATTAATTTAAAACTAGTTTTTTCAAAATACTCATCTATTCTTCTTCCTTTTTAAGTGATATTCGAATAAATAAAATAAAGGTAAAAAAGATAATATAAGTAATAAAATGAATTGAATTTGATCTTTTTAGTTTATTTATCAATTAAATTTAAATTAAAAACTATAATTCAATTAAATTACAAGAGGGAATTAGCTCCAAATAGCCGATAAATGTATTAATATTACTGCCAACGCTTAACTTTTTTCTTCTCTTTATAAACATTTGTTCTCTCAGGTTTAAACAATCCATTGTTCTAGATTTTCTGTGTCGATAATTATTAGGTTTAAAGCAAGTTATCTAATATTTTCTCTTAGTTTTCCTTATTTTTCTGTCTTCGACGATAACATAAAACAAAAACAAAGACAAAAGAGATCGGTCCTAATCGAGCTTTCATCCATAACATATCAATCCCATTGCCAACGGTAGAGCATTCCATCTCCAATTAGAACACAGTTCTAGCATAGCATGTGTGTGTCTATATATATATATATATTGTTTCCTAGGGTTACTTTCATTTTTTATCTCTATTTTTAGGCGTGAGATTTTCCCTAAACATGTGGTATTGTGTTAATGGCCTTAATTTTACTAAGGTTTTGCTCGGAGATTCTAGAAATTCTACATTTTAGTTAATTTTTATAGTTATATAAGGTTGATAAGCTTTTAAGTAAGTACTAAAAGTAATTGTTTCCAATAATGATATTTTTTAGTTGATTTATAATTTTTTTATTTAATTAAGAAATCATTTATTATTTTTTAGCTTTGATTATGATTTTTTTTACTAATATATAAGCAACTAGAAGAGTTATAATTTTAAATTAAAGTTTTGTGTGATGATTTTATTCAATGAAATTCTATGTTTGTACCTTCTATACTTCTTATGTTGTCTCTATCTATTTCACTTGTAAGCTTTTTTTCCATTACTAATCAATATAATAAAGTATTTGGTAAAATTTTAAAATTTAATTTAAAACTAATAAAACCATTATATGATGTTTCTTTAGAAGAATTATACCTTTTATTTTAGGCATTGTTTGTTAATGAAATGTAGCCTGTGATTCCATCTTGTTTATTTTTATGTTTGAAAGTATTTTTGAAAAAAATACTTTTTTAATTTTTTAATTTTTTTAAATCGTTTTGATATATTGATATTAAAAATAATTTTTTAAAAATAAAAAAATAATTTTGATCTATTTCTAAATCAAAAATATTTTAAAAAATAATAAATATCTTACTTCTAAACACTTTCTAAAAACATTTAAAAAATAATTTTTTTCATAGGTTGCATCCAAAAAGAAACTAGTCCTTAAAGAGAAATAAGAAAAAATTAAAATTAGATTTTGACTTTCACCGTGAACAAGGTGAGGCTTTAGAGGGTGCCAACCCAACAAACAATTGAATATATTAACCTTTAAAATTGAAATAGTTGGCGAATTTAAGACTATTAAATAACTCAAGCATCCTTAACTGAAAAAACAGAAAACTATTTTCATCTATTAAGGTTATTTTTGTAATTTCATAATTAATTTTATTTTTAAAACCTCTCCAAACTCAATTGTTTGCAATACAATTCAAAAAAGGAATCACAACTAAGTATATGAGGTTTTTAGAGTTTAAAAAAGTAGATTTAAGAAAAATCATGGACTATAGTTTTTTTAATTAAGGTTTTACAAAAGAGTTTTTAATAGTATTCATAATTTTAATTATGGTATATATTAATTAACTAAACACTTTTAAATATATAATTAAAATAAAATATAGATAACACCATATCATTCCATATCACATGCCCTAATAATTTATCCACCACTCATCAAATCAAACATGCAACTTCTAACTCAATTAAAATTGATATTATAACAAACCTAAAATAATTTAGTATTTCATTATACACACACTTATATTTTAATACGAATTTCTATTACTTTCATTTTTTATCTCTATTTTTAGGCGTGAGATTTTCCCTAAACATGTGGTATTGTGTTAATGGCCTTAATTTTACTAAGGTTTTGCTCGGAGATTCTAGAAATTCTACATTTTAGTTAATTTTTATAGTTATATAAGGTTGATAAGCTTTTAAGTAAGTACTAAAAGTAATTGTTTCCAATAATGATATTTTTTAGTTGATTTATAATTTTTTTATTTCGAATTTCTATAGTAAAATTATTGTTCTACCCTTAAAAATTTAAATCTTATAATGCATTCAAAGATAATATGATATTTTTAAGGAGATACATTTACTATTACAAGATTAAATAAAAGTAAAACAAAAAAATTTTAATTTTTTATTTCACAATGTCATGTTTAAAATACCCTTAAAAGTTGAATTCAGTTATTTAACTAATTAAGAAATCATTTATTATTTTTTAGCTTTGATTATGATTTTTTTTACTAATATATAAGCAACTAGAAGAGTTATAATTTTAAATTAAAGTTTTGTGTGATGATTTTATTCAATGAAATTCTATGTTTGTACTTTCTATACTTCTTATGTTGTCTCTATCTATTTCACTTGTAAGCTTTTTTTCCATTTAAAATTTAATTTAAAACTAATAAAACCATTATATGATGTTTCTTTAGAAGAATTATACCTTTTATTTTAGGCATTGTTTGTTAATGAAATGTAGCCTGTGATTCCATCTTGTTTATTTTTATGTTTGAAAGTATTTTTGAAACATATTTTTCATAAATTAAATTAAAAAAAAATTGTTGGCACATGCGATGCACGCGTTAACATGTAGGAAACACGTGTACTTTTTAAACAGTGTATGTGGTGTCTTTCAATGACCAAACATCATATTTTAAGATGATGTTTGATGTGTCTCATCGCCCCCTTCATGAAAATTAAGGGGAGTGTAATTACTTTATGTATGATGATGCTCTAGTAACACCTTTTCTTTTCTCTTTCTTTAACCTTGAAAAACATGCAATCCTTGAAAAAAAATTAAAAGAGTATGTTATTCTTTTAATTATATCAATTTTTTTTAAAATATCAAATTAGTTCTTCTGTTTTATGATGTTTCAAGTTTGACTTTTAATGTTTTGATTTCTAATTTAGATTCTTGGCTCTTTTATCAAATTTTAATTTATTTTTAATTTCATCTTTGGATAGTCAACCTATTAAGCCTAGCTGATTTTTAAAATAATAGCTTTTTAAATGCGGTGCTTCCAGTTTAGTGATTAGCTAGGTTCATGAGTTTGAAAAAATTAAAACGAGTTAATATAATTTTCTTCCTGATTACATAATTTAAAGTTGTTTGTTTTGAAAAATAAATTTTGTTATTTTTTTAGTTTTTTTTAATTTAGTCACCTATATCTTATAATTTAGGTAGAAGGTTTTGTCCAGGTGACCCATGTTTTTTTTTTTAAGGTTGCTTTTTTTTTATATACTTTCAATAATTTCTTCCAAATTTGATTCTTTTAAAGAGTAAATTATTTTTTTGTTTTATTTTTTATTGAATTATCTTATTCATGTGATTCTACTCGTGAGTTTTACCAATCTCATCTAGTTTTATTAGTGCTTTTTTTACTAATTTCTTTTTCATTGGTTATTTTTTTTATGATTTCATCTTTTTATATTTTAATTATTTTATATTTTAATTATTGAACTTTGACACTTGTTTTTTTTTTAATTTTTTTGATGTTGAGTCATGGATTGTTAATTCCTTTTTATTTCATCATTTGATATTTTTTTTTATTAAGATTTGATCTTATTTATTTTTTTTCATTGTTTTTAAACCTTGTCTGGGAGTCAATTCAGCAAAAGTACCGAATCATGAGTTGAGTGAGTTAACCTAAGTTAATATATATATTAAATAATATTTTTATATTTTTATATTGTTTTAATGTAATAATATTAAAAATAACTTTTAAAAAATAAAAAAAATATTTTAATATATTTTTAAATAAAAACACTATAAAATACTTTTAAAAATATTCAAAATATACTAACAATGCTCGAATATTATTTCTTAAGCTGCAAAAAAAAAAAATTAAAAAAAAAATCAATATGATACACAGCTAAATACAGGCAAACAATCTAATGTGACAACATAAGATACGCCTCGTACCCAACTCAATTTAGACTCCACAAGTCCATATCATGGCCAGCCCAACACCAAATGACATAGAAGTGAATATTAAGCGCCAAAACATTATCCAACCAAACAATGCCTCTGCTTCTCGTCTTCACTCAGTCAAGATGAATGCAAACACTTGTATTCAACCGCCCCAGTTCCTTCCATTATCTCCTTTTTATCAGCAAAGGTTTCATCTTTTCACTCAAAAGCCTCAATCTTTAAAGCCCACCAAGAAAAGTTGTTATTTTTCTACTACAGCGTGTGACAACAGCTTCAAAGGTGGCCTTTTTAGGGTTCAAAAGGGTAGAATCAGATGCTCAAATAGTGAGGTTGAAGAGCAGAAGGAGAAGCAGCAGCAAGTGGTGAAGAGAGCTTATCCTTTCCATGAAATTGAGCCTAAATGGCAGAGTTACTGGGAAAAAAATCAAACTTTTAGAACTCCAGATGAAGTTGATACCTCTAAGCCTAAATTCTATGTGCTTGACATGTTTCCTTATCCCAGGTGAGACTCTCTCTTTGTAAATACTTTTGGCTTTAGCTGTTTGGAAGTTAAATTAAGAAGACCCTTTTCATTAATTTGCATGCTTCGCAGTTTGTTCATTTAAAGATTAAATTTTGGCCACTGGGGTGTTGGTAATTTGGTATATGAAACTCAATCCAAATGGTAGAATGAAAATTATTGATGACTGAATTCGTATTTTGGAGATTCAGTTGTGAAATGAGTTTAAAAATCTGCTTTAGTTGTGGTAGTGATTGATGTTAATTTGTTTAATGTGATTTTGGGGCGAGTTGGATTGTTGTGAATGATGGGGTTTTGTGTTCATTTGTTGATGAGTGGTTCGCAGTGGCGCTGGGTTACATGTTGGTCATCCATTGGGATATACTGCTACAGATATTCTTGCTAGACTCAAACGTATGCAAGGTTACAATGTTTTGCACCCAATGGGATGGGATGCATTTGGTTTGCCTGCTGAGCAATATGCAATTGAGGTAATGCTTTGTAGTTATGCGAAACAGAACAGTTTAGGATATTTTCAATAGTTATGGTCTTAGTATTTGGATTTGTTGATGAGATGTTTCATGTGTCTAACAGACAGGAACTCATCCGAAAATCACAACATTGAGGAACATTAACCGCTTCCGTTCCCAGGTCATGTAATGCCCTTACTATTTCTTTTGAACTGCTAAACTAGTATTTGTTTGAGGGCTTGAACATGACATGTCACAGAGTGGTTATCAATGTTGTACTTGTCCTTTTAGTTCTTTGTATTACAGCTTCATATTAATTGGAGCCAGGATTGTGATCCAGACAGATTGCAATAGGCATACCCTATACTGATCATATTGATTAAGATTGCCCACTACATACATGCTGAAACTAATAAGAAATGGAGATCATTATGTTTACTTCATGGTGGCAATGCAGGCTAACAGCATTTTTGACATAATTATTATCAAAATGTGAGCTTCAATATGGTGAAGGGTTATATTTATCTTCTCATTTAAAGAATGCTGCTGATGCTAACCATGGCACACTGCAAAACTATCTCACATGGGAAGCTCACTTGGATTGAATTAAACTGTTTCTAGACAGCTTTGTGAGGCATAGGGCTTACCATCACATTTCAATCACTACTTAAGCAAACTGTCTACTCTATAGCATATTTCCCTCGTTAATTTTAGCTAGCAGCATGATTAATTTTAGCTAGCAGCATGATTCTTTGGTGTTAATTTTAGCTAGCAGCATGATTCTTTGGCAATAAATTGATATTTGAGTTTCTTTGCAGCTTAAATCACTGGGATTCTCTTATGACTGGGATCGTGAAATCTCTACAACAGAACCACAATATTATAAATGGACCCAGTGGATCTTTCTTCAGCTATTGAAGAGAGGGTTGGCATATCAGGTCCAGGATTATCTCTTGCCACCATCATATACTGTCGTTTCCTGATTAAAACTGGATCTGATGGTCTGATAATTATACATTCAGGCTGAGGTACCAGTCAATTGGTGCCCTGCTCTTGGCACCGTTTTGGCAAATGAGGAGGTGGTTGATGGAGTAAGCGAGCGTGGGGGTCACCCAGTTATAAGAAAGGTATGGCACCATGTTACTTCTTGAAGTCATTTGTTTATTTCTCATTACTTTTCTTATTTTTCTTCTTCTGTTGAATGGTTTTATAATTTTACAGTGTCATTGTTTATTACCAAGCAGCCAATGAGGCAATGGATGCTTAAGATTACTGCATATGCTGATCGCCTTCTTGAAGACTTAGATGACCTCGATTGGCCTGAAAGTGTAAAAGAAATGCAGAGGAACTGGATAGGAAGGTCTGAAGGGGCTGAGCTGGAATTTTGTGTTCTCGATTGTGATGGAAAGGAAAGAGACATAAAGATTACTGTTTATACTACCAGGCCTGACACTGTCTTTGGAGCAACGTATTATTCTTCCCCTTTGTTTCTATCATTGTCTGTCTAATAAATTCCTTCCAACACTTTAACTTGTTCGTAGAATTCAGAGACCATTTTTCTCTGGGAACTAATCTGATTTGCTTCCTGGTTTGCATTCAGATATTTAGTTGTGGCACCAGAACATTCATTGCTTCCATCATTGATGTCTCTTTCACAGAGAGAAAGTGTATGTTCATTGCTTTCTTGCCATATTTTTTCCCATGTTTTTGCTAGCCATATGTGATATAAAGTCAACATATCTTGATAACAGGTGGAAGAGTACAAAGATCTAGCTTCACGAAAAAGTGACCTTGAGAGGACTGAGCTTCAGAAGGAGAAAACTGGTGTTTTCAGTGGCTGCTATGCACAAAATCCAGCAAATGGGGAAGCAATTCCAATATGGGTTGCAGATTATGTTTTGGGGAGGTGTGTTTGATGTCATTTTTCTTTTATGACTTACCTGGACTAAGGCATGCATGCTTAGGTTCCAACTTTCTTCTGTGTATATTGTCTAGGATATGAAGTGCATTCGTGGAGTTCATTTTAATGTGAATGCAATGTATTCTATTGTTTTTTATGCAGTTATGGGACTGGAGCTATTATGGCGGTGCCTGCTCATGACACCCGTGACTATGAATTTGCTACTAAATATGACATTCCCATTCGTTGGGTTGTGAAGCCAAATGATGATGATTTTAGTGATTCAGGAAAGGCTTATGAAGGAGAAGGCTCCATTCTCAATTCATCGAGTTCAACATCAGGGCTTGACATCAATGGTTTGCATAGCAAAGTAGCAGCATCTAAAGTCATTGAATGGGCTGATACAACTGGAAATGGGAAGAAAAAGGTATTTTTCGCTGTTAGGGTGTGTTTGTTAGGGGTGTGGGGGTGATTATTAAAGGGTAAATAGCAATTACTTCAACAAAAATCACACAATCAAATAATCTTTAATTCACTCTCTCTTCCCCCACTAACAGTATTTTGATCATGTTTCTCATTTCTGTAATAATTTACCTCCTACACCTAAATACCAAACACATTAAAAAAACCAACCGTTTCTCCCTTACTAAGTACTCTTATAACAATCACCTCCATTTCAAATCAATACCACACATCATTAATCTAAAAATTACAGTGAAGGGGTAATATTGGGGTTGGACTATTACTAGCTTTGCATGCATGGTACTATGGTGTTATAAATGTAGCTCAAATTCATACTTCTTCAGGTGAACTACAAGTTGAGGGATTGGCTTTTTGCTCGACAGCGTTATTGGGGGGAGCCTATCCCAGTTGTTTTCTTGCAGGATACTGGTGAGACCGCTCCAATTCTTGAAACTGACCTGCCCCTTAAACTCCCAGAATTAGATGATTTTACCCCGACAGGGACAGGAGAGCCACCCCTTGCAAAAGCTGTTTCTTGGGTATGCTGTTTCCTTCTTACCATGTTTCTGTTTGGAAAAGTTTCAGCATTTTCTTGCTATACAGCTTTTATTATAACATGTGAATGCAGTCCATAAAGTTTCTGACTTTTGGAACATGTCTTTTAGCTGCTAATTGTATGTTAAACCCCGGGAAGTTCATAAATTACTATTCTAGCTGTGCGTTGTTTACTTTCTTCAGTAGATGCAATTCTTTTCTCCCTTTCCTTTTCCTTCTCTACGTTATATGAGCGATGTTTGTTCTCTTTTCTTCATCAAGTTCTATGATGATGTTTCTTATGGCCTCATTTCAGGTTAAAACCACTGATCCTTTATCTGGAAAACCCGCCATGAGAGAAACAAGTACCATGCCCCAATGGGCTGGTTCTTGCTGGTAATGCATTTGTGGCTAACTTATGTTGGTTTTTCTTCGTTCACTTTTTGTTAGAGGGGAGAGAAAGTGGTAAACATGTTAAAATGAAAGGTTATGGACTGAAATTGTGAACATGGGAGTCATGCAAAAAGCGACAATGGAAAAGTTTTAAAAGAACCTAGAAATTCAACTTTGCCTGTTTGACATACAGCTCAAAAAATGCATTCTCCTTTGACTATTTGACATAGAACTCAGAAATGAAGCACATTTAATTGGCTAGCAGAAAAAATATGCCAATAACATGCAATTGATATTTTTAATTCTGGCTATTTTTTGTTTCCCTCTGCATACACCTTGCTACTGTTTCATAGGAACTATTTGCTGGAAATAGCAACCATAGTCCATGCATAATTTGATATTGTTGGTATAAATGTGTAGTCTGGTTAAACAGAAGTGTTGTTATTTATTTCCTAACATTTTTCTGCTTGGCCAAATGCTTGGTCTTTTCCTTTTCAAAAGGTTGCTTCAACTGTTCTTTGAGATTTGAAGCTCTATACTTCTATAATTTTTTCAGGTACTATCTGAGATATATGGACCCAAAAAACTCCAAAGAATTAGTTGACAAGACAAAAGAAAAGTAAGCTGATCATTACTTTATGCAAATAAATATGTTTTCTTTTTTTAAATGAACATTCATCATTGCAGTGATCTTGTATGATTTTGTATCTCTTCACCTTCAGGTACTGGAGTCCAATTGATGTCTATGTCGGTGGTGCTGAACATGCTGTTCTCCATTTACTTTATTCAAGATTCTGGCACAAGGTTTTTGAATCTTTGGTGTTTACAGTTTTAATAAATAGATGCAGCTTAGTTAGTTTTGTGTAACTCAAAAGCCATAGCACATACTTAAGTCCCCACTTCATTTTCATTGTACTGTCAATATCTGTCCTCTCTGTTGCTATTTTTGTTTGTCTTGAATAAGAAACATATTTATTATTATTATTATTATTATTATTTTACTGCTGAAGGAGATGCTTAAGATTGCAGTTGACTCTATATTTATGATAGAAGGCATGAGAAGGAAGAAAATACTTATTATTGAAATTGGGTGATTCAGGTTCTTTATGACATTGGTGTTGTGTCAACCAAAGAACCCTTCAAGTGCGTCATTAACCAGGGAATCATCCTTGGGGAAGTAAGTATGGTTACTTATGCATAGGTAGGTAATATTCTTTCACATTATTCTGATGGTGTGAATAACAGGTCCAATACACGGCTTTCAAAAACCCAGATGGAAACTATGTATCTGCAGACTCTGCTGATCTGTCAGGTGAAATTAATCAGGAAATCATTCCCGAGGAAAAGGTTTGTCATAAACGTGTCAATATATTACTGTTCTTGTTAATATCACTTTGACTCTCCTACTAGAGTTAGAAAAAGGCCATTTTGACATTTTTAGCTCTTGGAGAATGTAGGCTATTACTTTTGGAATTTCACCTCTTTTTCTGAATAAATTGCACCTCTTTACATAGGTTATGAAATCTGGGGATTCCTTTGTACTGAAAGGTGATCCCAGTATCCGATTGATAGCTCGTGCGCATAAAATGAGTAAAAGTAGGGGAAATGTTGTGAATCCAGATGATGTTGTCTCTGAGTATGGAGCAGATTCTCTTAGGTTGTATGAAATGTTCATGGGTCCATTTAGGTATGCAATACTCTCTTCTTTTGATTATTAGGGATGAGCACAATAGAGATAATTCTGATGGTATTTTCTAAATTGCACTGTGCTGCTTTTAGAGACTCAAAAACATGGAGTACTAGTGGGATTGAAGGTGTCTATCGATTTTTGGGACGAACATGGAGGCTAATTGTTGGCTCACCCTTACCTGATGGAACTTTCAGAGATGGAACAGTGGCAATCAATGGGGAGCCATCTTTTGAACAGTTACGCTCCCTGCATAAATGCATAGCAAAGGTCATCTCTCATTTGATGCATTTTCTCGTTCTTTCTTTACAAGTGCCTCTGTTGGTTTTCCTTTGTATATTCCATATGCCACTCTATAATGAACATGAATTGATGTTGGTTCCAGGTAACGGAGGAAATTGAAGGGACAAGGTTCAACACTGGAATTTCTGCAATGATGGAGTTCATTAATGCTGCATACAAGGTTTTTCAATAGAACTTTCCTAAATAAACTTCCATTAGTTCTGTGACATTTGTTGTTCAGTGTTATTTGAGGACTTGAAGGCTGCTCACTTTCTGTTCCTGCTTCATTCCTTTATTTTTATCACTATTTTCCCATGAATTTAATTAGCTTTTATTTGCATTGTGATGTACTAGTGGGATAAACTTCCAAGATCAATTATCGAGGAATTTGTCTTGTTGCTATCACCTTATGCACCTCACATGGCTGAGGAGCTTTGGTTTCGCCTTGGGCATTCGAATTCATTGGCATACGAGCCCTTTCCTAAGGTAAAAATTTCTTTCTTAAAATGATACCATAGCCCTCTACTAAGATGAAAATTCATCGTTTGGATTTTGTTCTGATTGCAGGCAAATCCTGATTACCTGAAGGAGTCTACCATAGTTCTTCCAGTTCAGATCAATGGCAAGATGAGGGGTACCATACAGATTGAAGAAGGATGTTCAGAGGAGGATGCTTTCAGATTAGTTTCACAGGATGCGAAACTCTCCAAGTTCCTGGATGGAAAATCTATCAAGAAAAGAATCTACGTTCCTGGGAAAATTTTAAATGTTATTTTGGGTCCTCAAAACATCAAGGCAGGAGTCCGGTAGTCCCCTGGCCCCATCTGCATATTCAGGGCGAGTGGGCTCATTTTAAATAGGACTTTTCACATATGTGCTACAAATGGAATGCGGAGGCACACATATGTGCTACAAATGGAATGCGGAGGCAATGCATATTCAGGGCGAGTGGGCTCATTTTAAATAGGAAGATCACAATGAGTTGAAGTTTTACCAGCGAACTTTTCACATATGTGCTACAAATGGAATGCGGAGGCAAGTTTACTATAGGCATCCAAATTTTTCAATGCATTGAAGATGTCTACATCAATAAACTTTCAGGCTAAATTATGTTCGTCTTTAAGGTCCCTGAATCTAGAGGATTAACTCCAGGGAAGTGACAGGGCAGCAGCAGCAGAAACATTTCATGCAACGTCAACATTCATTATTCAATGGTATGGGTGCTTATGCTGGAATTTTTGCAGATGCCTTGTAAAAGGCCTTCATGTATGTACATTGAGACATTGAATGTATCAGCTGTATCGTTATCTGTATTATTCATTGTATGATCTGAATAAACTTATGCCATTAAATTGATAAAGGAACTCATTCTTAATACAAATATTTATTATTTGCAATCGTCCTGGATTGGGAATGTGCAGTTGAATTGATTGCAGTCAGACTGGCAGGCTGGCCTAAACTCTCTACAATCTTTATCAGATTTCTTTTCTTGATTCGACATGGTGTCCATGTTAGGATTTGTTAAGAATTAATTATTAATTAACAGAAACTGAATAGTGAATTGTTATATAATTTTGAACTGAATTTTATTTTTTCAAAATAGAAAGGACATGTCTTCACCATTCCTCTCTCTCTCTCTCTCTCTCTCTCTCTTATATATATATATATATATA